AAAATCCCGGGGTTTGTCTGCAAGCGTTTCCTTCCTTTCTTCCCCACTCTCTCTCCACTCTTTTTCTTGTGCCATTTTTCGCGCAGTCTTTCACTCTCGTATCTCGTTCCTTGCTCCTAAACCGCACGGAAACGCTTGCTACGCAGGCTACCTTGAATTGGACACATGATTTTCCATGAGATGTGTCCCAGAACCTACAGTACCATAGCAGTTTCGTAACAAAATCCCTGAGTAATCATGGTAAATTCGTTAAAACCTTTCCAACTAGACTGTACACTACAATACAGCACCTGTTTAAAAACAAGGCTTTCTTGGCTCTGGTTTCTTTGAAACCCATGTCTGTTAGCTGTTTAAGGATGGTCTGGAACAAAAAAATGCATATTTTATAATTAACAAGGGTATACACCTTGATTATGCTATTATGTTGTGGTTTAAAAAATCCTTGGATCACATTTTACTTTTTTCACATAAACATTCATTACTGCACTGTCTTAAAAACAGCAGAGAGTAGAATTTGAGGCGAGGTGAAAAAATTTGAACAACATAAATTTGCATTATGTTTAAGTGGCAAAATGAAATTCAGGTGAAAAATTTTTTCTCAACTTAGGTTGATTCTCAATTTCCCTTGTCTCCTAACCATAACTCATCAACAATAATAGGGATAGGGAACAAAGGAAATTGTGAATCAATTTAAGTCAAAACGGTTTAACCTGAGTTAAATTTTGGCCATAACCTTATATACATGACTTGACACATCCCTGTTACAACCAAAAGCCCAGGAGACCACCAGCAATTATGTGGCCAGCAATTTAAAATAATCATCCCATAACACAGTACATGTATAGAAGACTTTGTATACAGCTTACAGGTGCTTAGATTTCCTTTGGGTTGGACTGTGTACATGTAAGTTTTACAAATTAGGGCCATTAGTAATGACACTGGTGTTATAAGCATTTTTTGTGATTATTGCCTTCCCATCATTGTAAATTACAGTACACTTACAGGGTCAACATTTGGTTGCAAATCTTCCTCCTGACCTAAAAAGACAGTATGTGTTAAAAGTTCTTACATACATCTGTACCCTTAAAAACAAGAATATAAGCACTAAAGTAGAATTTACTGCATTAACTGCAAATGTTGTAAACCTGATTTAAACCACCTTAATTGAACAATTATTAATGTTTAAACACATAGAGGCAAAATTACGATAAGAATCACTTGATTGATGATCATCATCATGGATTTGAGCCTTTCGAGGTCAGCCGACTCTCATAATTATGAGGCCAAAGTTACCTCATGTTTCCATCATGATATATAGTGCCAGAACCATACGCTGACATGGCAGCCTCATCGAACAGGTTATCCAAAGCTGTCAAATAATTTTTTTTAACTCTTGTTTAAGCAATATTACATTGTTTTTTTTCCGTTGTGTTACATGAGTCCTCTAAATATTCCAAAATGACTCCAAAGTTTGTGAAGCAGAAGTCACATTGACTTCACCCATCAATAAAATTTGCAAACCCTGTACACGCAGATGTCTTGTTGGGCTTCTATAAACTACGTTATTTCCAAACATACAGTAATTTTAACAATGCACATAACCTTTTTGAATTTGTACCTGAACTACCAGCAGTTTCCTTGTCTTCATTCACGGATTGAAGCAGGATGGAAGAATCAATAAGGGAGATAAGAATTCTTCTGAGTTCAGAATTGAACTAAAAGTGGAAAGAAAAAGTAAGGTACTGTTATGTAACCAAATAGCTTGAGGTTTGCAAAATTACCCAAAAGAGCTCTCTAGAAGAGGTCAGAACAATGTACATTTTGGAAGAGAATACAAATGCATGTAACCTCTAAGTTATGATGAGTGTAATTTTAAAGGGACTGGTTCAAGGTTCAGCGCATGCTCATTAATTAAATTACTTTTTTCCAGTTTAATTAGTTTAACAATCCCACCCACATGTATCTCAGCAATCTCAGAGTGTATTTCAAAGTAGAAGTGTATTTCAGAGAAACCTGAAGTAGGATGGAGGAGTACTAAAATTGCAGAAAAAAATAGTGCATTATGCCAGTACTACCAACGTTGAATTTATTGCTGACCCAAAGGTTTTATTCTATGGTTGCTGAATTTACAGCTATTTGCACATAAGTTGATCAAGTGACTGCCAGGGGAGTGTGCAGATTGGTTCTATGACAACATTATGACATGATCATATTGCTTGCATAGACGTGATTCATAAGCATGCACTGCACCGTGAAACCTTCCCTTCAAGTTCCCACTAAAAGTTTTATGTCTTGGTATTTTCTTAGTAGTGAAGTACAATAAACAAAATTATGATTAAGCCATGTCTTAGGTAGTTGCTTACAGGAGGATAAAAACAGTGTAAAATCTGCGGTCGCTTAAGGGAGGTTCCAACTAAAGTGATTTCACTGGGAAAATTTCACTGTTTTGGATAGGTGGTTGTACATGGAGGCTCAACTGTACTTCTCTACAACCTGCTAACTAGTCCATTACAGCATTTCCCTCGATCGACAGGGATGGCACAGAACAAAGGTGCTTCTCCAAGAATACAGTACATTGACAGGTTTAATATTATTAATCCTACTTACATCTAAAGTAGGAGGGGATAAGCTTGCAAATTGGTCCTTGACCTTCCCTCCATCAAGTTTTGCAGTAAGTTTCTTCACCATTTTGAGATCAGGCACTTGGGAACTGTTACTTTTACATTCCTGCGTAATTTCAAGTTAGAGAAATAAATTTAGAACTAAAGCAGTGACAAAAATTGAGTATGCAGTTTGTTTTAATGTACAGTAAGGAGTAATACATCAATGTATAGCCGAGGCCCTTTTACAATGTCTGATATAGGATTAAAGAAAAAAAATGTCAAAAATAGGTGCTTGAGAAGAGTGTGTGACTACTACTGAAGAGTAAAATGCATTTTTATTGCATTTGAATGCTTTAAAATGCATTGCAACATTTCTCTATAATTTGTAGCGCATTTTTAACCTTTCCCATTAATGCATGCAACTTTGCCAAATGATGAAGAATGGTCAACACATTGGCACCAGTGGCAGATCCAGGGGAGGGGCCTGTGGGACTCCAAAGTATATCCTATTTTTGCTTACTTACTTTTGGAAAACTAACTCAATGGCAATAGTGAATACTGGCACATGCACAGTCATCACAAAAACTTAAAACATCCATTTTCATGTCATTGACTAAATCAGAAATTTTCAGCCAAAAATTATTTATGAAGTATAACTTGCAAATGGGCATAAAATTGTACATGACGTTACTTGATGGCCGCCAGTTATTAACAAAATCTATAAAAATCCCTGATTCCTTGCCAACAAATGAGACTGACACTGACCTGGTCATACAATCATGACGGCTACTTGTAAACAAAACACAAAATCTGTTTTTGCATTCACTGTGTTGTTGTTCATCTTTTTCTCGCCATAATGATATAATAATTATTAATGTCTCACAAATTACGCTCTGATATCGTTTTCAGACCATTTTCTAACAACAAAAGCTAAACGAGGATATACGACTATTGTGTTACATACACTAGAACAACTGAGCCAATAAGCTGCCAAATTACACAAATCAATTAATGTAATCAACATGTGATGTGCTTTTAAACCAATTCCCTGTTATCTTATCACGACATTTAGCACTGTTTGCATAATGTGGTATAAATAAAAAAATAAACCTCACTTGCTAACAAACGAAATGACCTGTAAAATCACATAGCTAAGCTTACCTTTTCGGCTATATCTGCAGTTGTGCTCTGACGTTTCTTGAACAAGATCAATTCGTCTGGAAAAGAAAAAAAAAACAACGTCAAATAGGAGGTAATTCCTAAACATTAGAGTCAACCATGAAACTTACCATTTTCTTGAACATTTTCTTCTTCTAGCGTTTTCTCCTCGATAAGCTCACGATTTGATTTAGCAAGAATAAGTTTGTAGAAGGGAGATTCCTTCGAACATTCGCCACCAAGAGCTCTATCCTTCAATGACTTGACCGTCTCTTTTAAACAAACCGTTAGACTGCTTTCTTTACCTGATGAGCTAGTAATTTTTACACAAATCAGAGGGACAGATCTCAAAGACTTCAAGTTCTGAAGTTCAAATTCCCTCATCTTGAGCTGTTATTCATGCATCTCTAGGTTTTTGCAAACTCATGAAGTAGAATTCGTGACCTATTTACGTTCATGCGCAAAACTAACAAAATGTGAATCAAAATAGCGCATCTCATTGAAAAGTTCATAACCATATTTGGCAGCTGTCGTAACAGGTTCCGAGTCTTCCCGAGACCCCAGAACCGTTCCGAAGATTTCCGAAAACATATGAAGTTTTTACGATGTAAAGTCGGATAGAGATCGGGGATGCCGAAAACTACCCGACTCTGCTTCCCGTGCAGTAGACACGCAGTCACCTTTCACGCATTCCAAGTTCCTGCTATAGAAATCAGCTGAATTGAAGCCTTGTAGAATGTGAATTGATTTTATTTCTCGACTGAATTGAATTTTCTGTTTGAACAATGGCAGATGCGGCAAACAATGGTGGTATCCCCAAAGGAATGAGGATTTTAGTGCGATTCTGGGGCGCTGTGTCGGGATTATGTGAGTGTTGTTCTCTGACCATTTTTGATCATTTCAACTTTGTTTTCAATCCAAAAATCAGAATTCGTTATTCTTACTAGAGTTCTCACTAGAGTTCCTGCTTTCCCCCGCTTTTTATGATTTAATGATCTGGATATTAGGATAAAACTGGAACTAACTGATTTTTGTCTCACAAACTACGGGTCCGTAATATTTTTGACACCCGGAAAGCCGGTATTTGTCAATGAATACCCGACAGAAATCTGAAGGATCTCCCTTGTAAACAGTCTGACATTATGTTCGCTTTAAATATTTTACACCGTTGCCCTTTCTTCCTTTTAGGAAATTGACGTTCTTGTTCGAATTTTACCTAGTATGAAAAGTAAAACTAGGAGCTTGTTTCAAGTTTTTCGCCTCGTCGCAAAAGGGCAAAATAAAAGCTCATCTATTGAATTTAGGATGTTGGGTACTTACGAGTTTTAAATTTTGAATAAAACACTAAATGTTTAAACAAATTTATTTGGAAAAAAGATTTTAAAATGCTAGTTCAGTTCTACCTTGGCCTTGTACAAAGTGAACAAATAGCTTCATTTGGGGTTTTTCATCATATCCTGCAGACCAGTTTCCGCTTTATTTACTTCTGATAACTTGAGCCATGTTTGCCAAGCATGTAACAAGTCAAAACAAACCAAGCATTGCAGACCAAAGTCTTGAATCTATTTAAGTAGCAAGATATTTTTTAACCTTTTTCACATTAAACTAAATGTGTCAATAAACCACTTCATATGTTGCTTCTTTGGGGTCCTATCAAAGCCCCTCTGAAAATAAACTGTGGGGTACTTCCTTATGAGAGGCTAATAGGATGTGCTGCTGTATGGGGTCTCATTTTCCCGACTGGACTGACTAAGATGGGGTCTATAATTGGCCACAGAATAGACTATAATGGGGTAGGGGCACCGAGAGGTCAGTGGCACATACCCAGCAAAAATTAACCAAAGTACCCCCCCCCCCTCCGGAATTGTGCCATGCCAGCCTTTTGTATATAAATGTTTAAGAAATGGAAATGGTATACTTTGCTTTGTTTTGTTTTATGATATTATGTTCTGCTCTGTAATTTACAAATATCTTTCCTTTTTCTCTTGACTTCTCTATAATGCAATTTGCATGATTAAATATTCACTGTACAGTGAAAAAACGTTTTTTCCTCATCATCAATAACTCAGACCTTTTTCTATTTCCCTAGAATGTTAGAGTTATCAGTAGTCAAGTGAATTCCATTTGAGCAAGGGTGGGGCAGTGGTAAGAGCACTTGCATCCCACCATGGTGGCCCGGGCTCAAATCCTGGCATTGACATCATATGTGGGTTAAGTTTGTTGTTGGTTCTCAACTTTGGTCCAAGAGGTTTATTTTCAGGTGGCCTAGTTTTCACGTCTTAAAAACCGCCATTTTCAAATTTCAGTTGGACCAGGAATGGTAGACGAAGAATCACTACATTGATGTGCTTCTTCTAAATCGTTATTGTTTATTTATATATTTACTTATTATAATATTATTATTTCATTGAAAAAACAGACAACAAGTCTTGTGCTTGTAATAACTTGTATATATATTATCTGTTTTGTTATTAATTTCTCAGGTTCTGCTGCTCTTGGCTTCTTCGTTCTTTTCACACTATCAGCAACATGTTTAGGAATGGGAATATATATGATGTAAGTCTTATTTCGAGGGCCAAGGCATGTAATTTGTAAATCTTGTGGTGGCCTTTTGGGCAATTGTTAGGACTAAGTTTCTGGTATATAGGAGAGAAATAATGTCAGGCTAATATACCTTGTGTCGTAGAACATGTGGCCTATGCAATTTAGTTAAACTCAGCAACAGAAATGAGCAGGGGGGGAGGTCCTTGAGAGGCCGGTGGAGCCACGAATTGCAGCTGAGTGCAATGCGTAATCTTGACAACCTTAAGAGTGGCATCCACCCAGGTGCCGTCACACTGAGCACTAACCAGTGGAACCTAACATACTTACCATATACATACCATAGGGGAGGGATTGGTAGGGAGTGAGAAAACACTCTGCAAGTACAAGCCACAACAGGCAATGACACTCAAACTTAATGAGCTGAACTCAAGAGAATGCTTGTAAAAAGACCCACAAGCCCTTACAATGCAATATCATGATGAGAGAAACAGCTGGTCAGCACTATCTTGAGTTTAACTTTGCCTAAATTTCATGTAGCCACATAAAATCACCTAAGTACATAAAGTCTCATCTAAGGTAGTGTTTGGTTGGGATCAACAGTTACTAATGGTCGGTATTTTTGGTTGGATCTGTTTTCTTGTGTTTTATTTGGAGAAAATCTTCCTGGTAGGTAAGGACTTTGTCTGTATTGTAATGCATTGATTTTTTCATTTAAATAATGTTCTTTTTGTTAAGTGTTTGGTATTTTCTCATGTATGTTTCTTTAGCTTGTGTGCCGTCACGCCACTGAACGTTATATAAAAAATCATTTTTCTGTTTCGTGATTATTTCCGCTTGAGACGTAGGTTAGTCATTTTAGAGATAGTATCTGTCAGAAATGCTTATTATTGGTCAATCTGTTACACTGGGATTTCCTTTACAAAGTATAATAGTCATTGTCTTATTTACTCGCCAGTTTTTTCACATCAGTCCAGCCTATGTTCAAGTTCTTTCCTTTTTTACCTTATATAAAGTAATTTCAACTTTGCTGGTTATGCTTCCCTATCTCGGCCAAGACCAAATATCGGTTGAGGTAGCGGAACAGCTTGTACTCATCATAGTTGTAGTCCATTTTACAGCATTAATTTTTTTAGTCAAAAAAATAAAATTAATGTATTTTATTACTATTGTAGTTCAAATTTTTTCTTTTGTTTAAAATTGTTCAAACTAGTTTCTTTTTTATTTCCATTTTCTTTTGTCTCATTTGTTTGAGATAATGATATAATATTATTACGGACCTAAAAATGACCAGGAACATTTTTGATGTTTTAGATTAATGGGTGCACTAGTTCTTGGCTTTGAGGCTCCTGTGTGTTGTCAATATGTACCAGCTCTAGTAACCATGAGCAACTGGATTGATACCCACTTTAGATTCTGGATGAGAGGAACCTTGTATTTCCTGTAAGTTCTAGTCACTGTTAGAAGATGTCAGTAATCCTGCAGTCTGTACAGGGCTCAAAATAATGGCCAGTCAACCAACATTGTTTGACCAAGATAGCTAATTATGCAGATCATTAAGGTTTTCTTGTCATTTTCACCTGACATGTGCACTGTGCATTGATTGAAAATAAGTGACCAGATGAAATTATATTTTTACATAATCATGTACATGTATCAAGAAAACAAGCAACTTTTCTTCCTTTCACTTCAGGAAACATATATTTCCATCAGTTTTCAAAAGTGTACAACGGAGGCAAAATTGGATTGGCAGTTTTCATTAGAGTATTTTCCGCCTACTCGATAACACTCAGGTCTAAAGACATTAAATTTTTATAAAAGCCTGACAAGTTTAGGCCTTTACTGCCTGAATATCCCCCTGAATCTTAAAAAACATTTCAATAATATTGGGGTGGGTGTAGATGCAGGACTTAGTGATTTAAAGTTTTAATAGACCTCTTTAGCTTGTTAATTGTTTTGTTTTCTCATTAGTATGTCGTGTGATGATATTCTTGAGGTCTCAGTTTCTTTCAAATTTTGTCTTATTCACACACAATTTGTGAAAAGACAAATTCCTCTGAGACCTTCTATTGGAAAACAAACCGTACAAGTTATAAAAAGAGGTCTATTTTATGATTTGTGATTTGTGATTTGTCTATTTTATGATTTGTGTTATAGGTTGGCTATTCTTCCTGTAATATTTTGCCTTGAAGTGTCCACATTTGTTGGCTGTGGCTCCATCATGATAACTGCTGCCTTGTATGGTGTCTTAGCTATTGGCAAAAAGTAAGTGCAATTAGCAGTTAAAAGAAAGAAAATGTGATAAAAATTATTTTATTTTTTATTTTAAAATGGCAATAGTCTCAGGTGTGGGTGCATTACAGAAATGGTTAAATTTAATGAAAATTAAAGCTAAGGCTTAATTGTACATGTATCATTCAGTCAAAATTGATTTCAGGCTAGTGTCCTTCTAAGATGTTTAATAGTCTTGACTTGTTTAGACATGATAACCTCATACAAATCCCAAAGAGGCATTTTTGTAGGGTTTATATTCACAAATAGCAGTGAGAAAGTTCAACTCCAGTGTAAAATTAATTGACATAAAGAGTTGGTGGGAGTTCATTCTTCTTTGCTGGTTCATGTGAGTACATTGAGTTCAAGTTAAGGCTCCCCAGCAAAAAAAACTACATAACTTCATTACTGGATTATTTTGCATTTTAGGGGAGCTGATGCCAACAAGAATGCTAATAATGAGGACATTGAGATGAAAACAAACCTAGTTGATACCAAAGGTGACCCAAATCATACTGAACCCTGATCTGTGAGAAAATTCTCAGCGCCTAGTTAATTTTCAACAAAAGTGTATTACATACATACTCTATTCTACAGTTAAGTTATATTTATTACAGTAACTATTGAAATATATCATGTTCCTAGACTGTCTTAATTTATTTTACAAAAAGATTTTTAAAAAAATTAAAAGAAAGTATGGTATGCTTTTTCAACTTCAAGTATGAATTTTGGTGACTGTAAGATAAATGACACAAATCTTATTTACCTTATTATATGAGATACCAGTTGTAATAGGGGAAAAGGAGGGGAAAACACAAAACTTATTTATAGTGAAAGGTCTGCTCAGCTGTCAGTAGAATCAACTCAAGTTATTACAATAACTGAAATATCTTGACATGCAGTGGAGTGATATTTTGGCTCCGAAGGAGACTTGAAAGGGTTTCATGCTGTTATCAGACATAACTGCATATAAATATTATGGCTGCTGACCAATGTAAGGTCCATGGGTAGTAGTGTCTCTATGTGTGATAGCATTTGGATGTATTTAGGACAACAAGCCAAACAAGAGTAAAGGTTAAAGTTTACCACACAAAAAAGTTTGAAGTTAGAGTAAGAGGACGGTTGAGCATGCAAATGACCAGCACAGTTCTAACTTGTCATGTACCCAATATCTAAGGCTGACTTGAGTTAATTGTTCATTTGGACTATGTTCAAAGCTAATTAATTTATTATAATTAATTTATATGTTTACTTCTGTCTATAATACTACTTATTAGTACACACTAGGAACACAGTGTCGCATATATATAAATGATTATTTTTAATTTATTTTGAATAGTGTTTTATTCAACTCCCTTAGTGCGTAAACAACAACAATACTGTTTAATTTGAAATTCTCTCATAGTCAGATAAAATTTTGTCATCTTACTTTTTTATTTTCAGACCATAATGGTTAAAACTCAATGATGTACACATTGAGGTGTTTTATTTTTGCTTGTAGCATTGTTTGGGGATTAATGCATTCTTTAATTGAAACCTTTTTCATCTTCTTTAGAGGGTGAATTTAATTGCAGCATGCAAATATTGCCATCATATTTGCCTGTTGAAATTTTTTATTGTGTTCTTAGCTTAAAAACAATGTAATATTCAACAGAGAAATGTGACGGCTGTAATCCTCCAAAAGGCACTTTTCAGCACTAAGCAAAACGTACTGATAATGCATTGGAAAATTGCTGTTACATTTCCGATGCTACCATTTCCATGCATATGACAAGTAAATTATTATACATTAATTGAAAAAAGACGAAAAGTGCCATCCTCTTTCGTTTTGCTGTTTGTTTCCGACTTTAATTATACTTTGGATGTGGGTTAATGTATAAATAAAAAATTATATATTAAATTATTGAAGCTTGAAGGCAATTCAACTCCAGTGAACAAACTCTAATGTATGTAAGTTCCACATAAAAGTCAGGAGAGGGGTATCTTCCATAAAAGTTATGGGGATACTCGTCGGAAACTTAGAATTGAACTCCGAAGTTAAACCCAGATCTGGGCAGTGATACGTCATCAGTATGGAATTTCCGCGCTCCTTTCTCAGACGTCATTTCGCGGGCAATCCAGAGGTAATGTCACGAAATGTAGGCTGTTTTCCCAGACTAGGTTTGTTTTACCTGAGTTGAATTATGGCTTTTTTTAGTGGTTTGTTTTGGTGAGTAACAATGATAAAAGCGCAGTGAAGGTTGAGCGTGCTTTCAACACGTCTTTGACAACCGGAAAAATCATCAATTTTCCTTCAGACGGTTTTATATAATTCACTTAAACAGTCGGAAAATTAATTTATGACTGGATATTTTTTTAGTCAATAAAATATTGGCTTACTGCGAGATTCATGTTTCTTGTTTGAAACTTTTGTCACATGAAAAATATATTTGTGACTGGATATTTTTTTAGTCAATAAATTGTCGGCTTACTGCAGATTCATGTTTCTTGTTTGAAACTTATGTCACATGAAAAATTTTTAGTTATGACTGGATATTTTTTAAGTCAATAAATTATTGGCTTACTGCGAGATTCGTGTTTCTTGTTTGAAACTTATGTCACGTGATTTTGCAACCAGTTGAATAGGAAGCAGACGTATTTAGCATTTGAAATGTCTTCGTTCAGATAGTTGCAAGGTAGCGTTTTTAGAGGTGAAATAAACGTGAGGAAGCTTAAATCCCAATCTGAACGGAATTTTCGACCAGTTGAAAATTCGTCCGTTTTGTTCTTTCGTTCACAGTGCAGGGCACTAACCTGCTAGGAGAGTCGCTTCGATCTTTCCTAAATAAGTCGGGAAAGAGGAAGCAAGACTTATCTGGGATGGAAGCGAGTCTGCTAGCAGGGCAACACGGCACCAACTTAACCGTACAAAATTTAGACGCCTAGGCGTTCAAAGCTAAAGCCTGAGGTCGAGATGGTCGGACATTGGCCAATTTTACGGATTCTTTCTGGACTTGGCAAGACCATTTTAGTGAGAGAGGATCGGCTCTTTTAGCAACAGTCCCGAGCATACGTTAGCAAACTTCGGACAAAGGGGCAAATTCCCCAAACTGGCTAAGAAATTATTGGGAAAACAAACCATACAAGCTAAAGAGGTCTATTGTCGAGGCCAATTTTCGCGTGCTACAAAAAAAGCTACCTTGACTTGGTGAGAGGATTATTTTTCCTTTGGGGACTGGCACATTGACTTTTCTAAAAGTCAGAACTAGCCGCCTAGACCGGTCATTTTGAAAATGAAAAATTAGTGTTTTCTAGAAATTTTAAGTAAAACGCATCACTGGCACCGTCCGCACTATTTAAGAATAAACTGATCTGGCTAGATTGGTTCATAGTGGAATTCTCCTTATTATGACTGCCTTAGTCTGGGCAGCCAGTTCTGATAAATGGTAAGCGCCCAATTGATTGCCCTCGACAATCGCAGCCCAGATAGTCATTATGACTTGCTGAAGCGTTCCTAATCAGTTTTCATTCCTGTCGGTACCCATGTTTTGCCCCTTAATTCTTTTCCCTCGTCACTGAAACCCGTTCGCCCAATCAGCGACAGACTATC